GTTGGGACCGTTACCTGCGGCCGCGCGCCCGCTCCCTCACGCGCCCGAGTGCCACGTCTGAGGCGGCCCCGCGCGGGCGGCGCCTGCGCAGTGCGGGCGGTGAGGCCGCGCCCGCGGCCGGGCTGTGCCCTCACGGGCGGGGGCGAAGGGCAGCCCGGGCCGGGCACTCTGGGACCGTGTGTTCGTCTGCGCTGGGGGTACGTGCCGCTCCAAACACAGAGGTGTTCTGCCAACGCGATAGCTTTCTTTTTTCTCGTATGTGCTTGAAAAACAGAATCACGGAATCAAACCCAGAATCCATGGGTTGGAAAAGACCTCTGAGATCACCGAGTCCAACCTATGACCGAACACCACCACGTCGACTAAACCATGTCCCTCAGTGCCACGTCCGGCCTTTCCTTAAACAACACCTCCAGGGACGGTGACTCCACCCKCGCCCWGGGCAGCTCATTCCAATGTCTCATCATCCATTCTGTGAGAAAKTCTTCCTAATTTCKACCTAAATCTCCCTGAAACAGCTTAAGAGTCTGTCCTCATCCTGTCGCCGGCTGCCTGGTCGAAGATGCATTTACTACTACACTTTAAACACACATATCTGGCATATCTGTATGTAAAATTATGCCACTTGAATATCTACAGTGAAATATGAGGCAGGTACTTTACCTGTTTGCATACGCCGGTATTAGTTACTGTTCAAGTGCGTTTAAAAATGCTGCCTTGGTTACAAGATAGGCAGTGTTTTGCTAATTAACAAAGTAGAAACATGGGAGTAACATGAGAGAGATTGGAAGTAACATGAGGAAGATGTATTTGTAAAATTGCTTTTCCTCCCAATCACAAATAAACATTAATGGTGTTGTTGAASTAAAAAAGAAAGGAAAAAGGCAGAGGATTCAAACAAGGAAAAAAATATTCAGTTGAAGAATCACAGAATAATAGAATATCCTGAATTGGAAGGGACCCCAAGGATCATCAAAGTCCAACTCCTGGCCCTTCGCAGGACAGCCCCAAGAATCATACCATGACAGCTTCAAAATTCACGTGCATTTATCTGGAATTCAGGCTCTAGAGGCTTTCTTATCCTTGTTCTACAACCTTTATAAGTCTTTTCAAAGTACCAAACAGTTTTACCTAGAGCTATACATCACTAATGGCTGAGACCACAAACCRGATTGGCCAAAGTATTCATTACTATACAAAATAATTCTGAAAAAAWWAAAATCCCATTGCCTTTGTAACAGATGTCAAAATGAAGATAAACAGTGGCATCCTTTGCATGAAAGACTCACTAGAAACCTCAATAACCAACACAAAATAGGTAAGAACAAGACTTGGCCTGTCTTATTCTTGGTATCCAGCACTGGATTCACCACTACATAGTATAAGCTGGTTTTTTACATGTTATCAGAGCAAATATTGTTGGATTTGCTCAGAGAAATTTGAATACATTTCAAATCTCTCCCAGCTGTCTAATCAGAATGGAAAATTTTGTCCCTGAGGTGACAAGCATCGGTTAAACTGGATGTGGTTTTGGCTGCAGGGTATCAGTGACTCTTTCATAAGYAGGATGCAAACCAATGCCTTTCATCATTGCTGTGCTGTAGTTTCACCCCTCTCCCCTCTCTCTTTTCCTCATTATGTGGACACRTTAAAGTTATACAAAACTCCTCTGAAATACCACGCCGCTGAGGGAAATAACAGGTTTAAGTTTGGACATTCCCTATTTTACTGGGGAGACGGGCAGCCACTGTCCCACAGCCCTGCTGTGTCTCRCTCTGAGCTATTAACAGTAAGCAGCTGTGGATAACTCAGCACTGAGGAACCGTGCACTTACTTGGCCACTGAATACTTACTATCAGATTTCTCCTCCCCAAAATCAGCTCCAGTGAAACTGAAACATGAGATCAGCAAAAGATAGCAAGGAGAAGCTGTGGCATTCATTGGCAGTTCTTCCCTTTATTCAGGCCCACTCTGGAAATGGATCAAGATGCCTCCTTTTTTCTCGAGGATGCTTCTGTTATTCTTTAGGCTGGAACACTGAGACAAAAAGAATGCAGCATGTCACAGTCTGGATGGTTTGAAGCTATAAGGAGAATTTATCTACRGTTTTCACCTATAACATTAAAAGCAATTTAAGGTTTTCAATTTCAGAAATGTGGAAACATCATTAAAGATTTAAGTGCATTATTGGTCTAGAAAGTAATTTCAYAAAAATGATAATGCAGGATTGCTAAACTATTGTATTAAATCATACCATAAAATCTGAAAATCAGACTGGTTTATTCTCTGTCATCATCAGTAATGATGACCTTGCAGGTTAAATTACCTTTCTGAACAGAATCMATTAGGTTGCAAAATTTATCCTCTAGTGGWACCTATGCAAYGTTGCTGAAAGCAAATGTAATTTCWYATATTTCAGACCTAATTAAAAGTTAAAACTGGTGAAATAAGTGGAATTTGTCTGAATCTGTATGAATTTTTTCATCTGTATTAAAAAAATTCAATAAAGCTCCTATCTCTATAATCTCAYTTTTAAAGTTCTCACTAGAATTTTTTCTGTTAGTTCTGAAACTAAGAAAACACATAGGCAGCTCTATAGAAGGCTAGTTCAAATCTTTCAGASACTATTATTAMATTTATTTTATAATTMTTTTTAAAATTATTTGAGATTGGATATTCCCAGAAATTACCATTGCAGGGCTATAAGAACTCCTGATGAACAAACCGTGCAGATCTCCTGTCTCTTTACAAGAAAAATGGAAATGATATTTTAAAAGTTTACAGTTGTTTAAAATGAAAGCAAAGAATTTTTTATTTAAAAAAAAGCAGTCAAATTTTGAAGGAATTATGTTCTTCTCAAAACAAATTGTGTCAGATTAGTAAATGCTCCATGAAGAAAAAGGAAAGATGTAATATTTCAGTAATCAGAACACCCTGTAAGAAGAAACACATCAGTGCTGTGACTAAGCTGCATTTCTAATATAAAACGCTAAGCCAAATAGAAACCTAGATGAGGGTACAGCAGAAGTGAATATCAATATTTTGATAAAACAGTCTCAATGGCAATTAGAAAATATTAGTGGAGTTYACCCTTTAAACACTGCCCCATATGGAATGAAAACAGCAAAGGTTTTTCAGAATATCAGACTGATGTAGGTGTTGTTATTCAGGGAGAACAATACAGTAATGTTCAAATCCTGAGCATGCATTCATTGCTGTTTATCTTTTAAGTATCCTGTGTTAATAGATACTTCCTACAGGGACTATCCACTATTACCTGTTTCAGCTCAGGCATGGGGCCACAATAAAGGAGGAATTAATTCCTCTCTGGTTTGTTGCCTTTTTGGTATTTTTTTTTCCCACTAAGGTGTCTCAGGTTGTGAACCAGACACCCAGAACCAAAATGGGTCCTTGTAAGTTGGAGAGGCTACTGGGAGGCCTTAGGGATTGCTGAGCACATGGATCATGCCATTGAATCTCCCTTTTCCCTTCTGTTGAGCWCTGACCTCCCATGTAGAGGCTGTGTTACCCCTCGGGCTGCTTTCAGCACACCATGCACGAGGAGGGGTCCTGACACTTAACACTCATTAATATTTCTAAAATATTTTTTAGATGAGAAGAAGTGTAAATCCAATTCCAATTCATAAATGTGTTACACCRTGCAGAGGATAGAAGGACTGAGCGTGCTTCACTTCTTCCCTGCCCCAACCCTTTTAAACATTGCTGGCAACTGCTAAGTCCTCAGTGACAGCTCCTGTTATCTCCATGGTCCCTAACTTCCCCAAACAGAAGACAAAAATCAACCACCACAGAGCATTTACTGCCTACCTCAGAGACTCTTGGTAGAGTTTGCTGGCGTATTTGCAAAGCAAAAAAGTCTAGGGGTGAAAAATGATGTGCAGGAGAAGGAGTACTTAATGTTACGGTTTGCTTAGAAGACACTCTGGGTCTTGAGAAAAGGGTACTTGCCTTAAAGCCAAGGTCCTGATCTCTTGTTAAATTGGTCTCTAGTAGCTGAAACCACTTTCTTTCCCTGAAACTCAGTAGAACAGAAATTTTTATAAAATGCTTTGCAGTCCACATGTTCTACATGTTCTACACAGGCCACATGTTACAAAAGCCAGTGTGCTTTAGAAAATGACTGTGGTTGCTTTGTCCAAAAAAAAAGACTTTATGGCTAGCTCAAGCCTCTGGATTTCCCAGTATCTGCAGATTGTGAGACTCCTCTGCTTACTCTCACTGACTGTAGCTATTTTGGTTTTCTAATGAAATCAACATTCTGGCAACTCGATCTGGAACATTTACAGGAGGTAGATGTGGTGTTCTGAGAAAATTGCTGTGATCTTTCTGTTGGGGAATTTCAATTATCTTTTAAATTCATTTATTGCTGTCTAAGATGCATGAGAGTGGAAGATTGTACTACCTGTTCTTAAATAAAAACAACCCAAGATTTGATTATCCTGCTGTAATTGCTACAYAATGAACAGTAACATAAAAACAAAGATGAGGTCTTAGTAGAATCTGATGAATAATGGATCACATATAAAGCACTGTGAATAAACATTAGGCCACAGTCTCAGAAAGGACAGCAGAAAGTTAAACGATCCTTTCTGTGTTTACTTGCTGAATGTATAGAATTTCTCAAACATAGATATATTTCACTTTTACATTCAGAAGCATCTGAAGCAGCTTTACTTTCAYTGGCTTTCATTTTACATTTCCTTCTTGTGTTTAAAATTTCTGATGTGTTAGTGAAGTCTTGCTATAGAGCAATACTCAAATAAACTTGCTACCACTGAAAAAGAGCAACTGAGTWAATTCTTCATAACAAACTGGAAATTTGGTTGAGTTACTTAAGAKTCAAATACTTCTATGTGTGTTCTTACATAGACTGTGCTTTTGCTTCACTCCACCATTTATGTCGAAGTAAAACATCTTCTACCTGAGCATGGAAAAATTTGCATACCAGTAAAGCATCTCTGTTATTTGTAAAAATATTTGTCCAGATTTGTGCTGTCTGGACATCTTCTAGTCTAAAGCAATTGATGCCTTCCCTATGATCAACAAAAAGAAACATCAGAATTAATTTTTTTTTAAAAATCCATCATGTTATTTTTATATCATGGAAGCTACAAAGGCATAGGAGATGCAGCTGGCATTGAAATTAAGGGCAGGAGCAAAATTCTATGTCACACTTGGTGTCACAGCATGCACGGTACCTTTGCACTGTGGAGGCACAGAAARCACTTGTTCAGTATTTGTAGACATGGGCTGTTGTCTGAAAACAGGCAGATTCATGTCAGCAGTACCTCAGCACCAAAAGCCAAAGCCAAAGCAAAGGCAGAAGGAGCTGGGAAGTCTGGAAACTGGTTCCTGGCAAGAAGATGCAGTGCAATAGGCAAGGGATCAGCAGGGGTTAAACATCAAGGTGTTTTTAGAGGGCAGGTTTTTCCAATATAGTCTGCTCCACTTGGAAAGGAATTAGTTATCAAAGGGTTGGAATTCTTGTTCCCATTGCCAGGAATGAAGATAGCTGGATTGCTTTTTAATCTATTACAGTTACTTGGATGGGAGGGTAAGATTTCTTGTGGGGCGGTCCTTGTTATGTCACCTCTGCTTTTCTGGTAAAGCCTAACCAGAACCATTCAGAGGCAAAACTTTTAAAGGCAGCACTTCATGCCAAAGCAACTTTTTATGCCCTGTCCTTTTGCCAGRTGCTGTAGTTGGAACCACCAACTTCAGACCCACTGGGGAAGGCAYTGAACAAAAAACTTCACTGTAGTTGTAAAGAGTGTGTTAGAAACTGCTTCRCAAACCTTACTGCTTATTTTGTAAYASAGGAAAGAGGGAAGAAAGGATACTCCAGGAGGACTTAAAGTATCAAACTATCAAAATATAAGCAGAGAATTTCAGAAGGTTTCATATTTCTCAAGGTTTCACTGGATATATAGGAGCTATTTTTCTCATTTTCCAGGCCCAGACCAAATAATGGGATTTTTCAAGTGTAAAATCAGAACTCAAACTTCCCAAGACTCATACTGCATTATAACTCAATTGTTCTCTGCTTCTCCTGTCCTTGTTTTTAGTATGGAAAAATTCACTCTTAAGAGTCTTCCAAGTAACAAACAATACCTGCTTTAAACTGCAATGCAAAAATAGTTTATTTTATGCTGGACTGTGGCCAGGCATGGAATTGAGCTCTTTCATAGCAACAAGTCAAGGGGAATTAATCACCTCTACACTTGCTAACAGGAAACAAAATTGAAAAGATGAAATCTGATGCAGGTGAGTATTCATCAGACTAATGTTAAATCTTCATGTTCGGTCTTCAGTTCCACATTAAAGCATCATTTCAAAATGTATTAGATTACTTGGGCCTAACTCATATCTCAGCGATGATTAAATAGATATTTTCTAAATAAATATGATATGGTTACTCATGATTAATTTCATAGTGGTACATCAGAGGAGAGTTTAGCATGTTGTATTTCTTTAGCCCAACAAGTTAGCATGAAATGYTCTTTCAAAAGAAAGAGGGGAGATAATAAAATCCGACTGTCCAAGATGAACAGATGGATARAAGGTGTTGTGTTACTCAACTACCACCTTTAAATGCCAATTCAAAGAGCAGGATGAAGCATTTTGGGGCAGAGGTGAGCAAAGTGGAACACCTGCTTGCATTACTTACATGCATGTTCCATTCTAGGCTCTTCCAAGCTTTGSCAAAGAAGAGCAATTTTCATTCCCATAGGCTCCGTTATGAAGAATGTGATGCAACTTCTCCCTGCCAAAACCAGAAAGAAAATTGTTCATAAACAGTTTTCTTTTTGCTTTAGAGTCTTTTATCAGAATTTTTCCAACCACTGAAGCCAAAAATGTAGTCATCCCATCTTCTGGGAATCAAAATGAAAAGGAAATAGACACCTAAGAGTCTTTCCAAGTCCCAAGAGTAAATTAGTTCTAGCTTGCTAAAACACAGGAATAAGTAAAAACAGCAGTGGAATGACACCTGGAAACATGAATTCTAACCCAAAACCTTACTTTTAGATTAACAAGAAACAGGTACTAATTCCAGTGTTACAGAATTTTTTCATGTTCACAAACCTTGCAGTGAATGTGKGTTACTTTTTCTCACAATKAAATCTTGTAGTTAYTYTGTGTATTAATTTTTAGAMACAATCTGAAATCCTCGTYTTTTCATAAAGGAAAACCTTCTCAAAACATTTTTGTCCAAGATGTCCAGGGGRAAAAAAAGTTTGCTTCTCTTCAGCCAGTTTAGGAAAGCATTTTCTGGTTATCTGAGACTGGCTGTAGTAGGAACAGGTAGGACAAAAACCTGAGAAACATGAGTTCTCTTCCCCAAATTCTTGCCTCTCTGAGTTATCCATAGATTTTATGTCTTGTATTTAATGGTGCAGGTCTTTGGTTACAGAGGGCCTGTGATATGCACATACTTTCAGAGCCCATCATTAATCTATCTTTTAACATGCTGAATTGTAGTTCCATTCTCTACACAAATTTCTACTTATTCTGCTATAATTCAGAAATGCTCAATGATAACATTTTTTCTGTGTTTTGGAGCAAAGTGGCTTCTCTTGCCTGTTTGTTTTGGATGGTTTTCTTTACAACAGAACCAAAACTCCTCCTGCAGGATGACACCTTGTAACGTAAGTGCTGAGAAATACCCCTCCCGTAAATTTCTCTGCTTCTTCACTACACTTCATTTGCCAGTCTTGAAGCTGGGTTAAGAAACAAGAAAGCAGGACTAATTCTAAAATTCCAWCCCATCACTCAGTACCTTGCTTTATAATCAACATTCGGGATTAAAATTAAATTTTACTTCTAATRGTGGGGAACTGCTCACGCCTCCTATGAGTGTGAGTAGAGTTTTTCTGTCTGGCCTTATAGGTAGCTAAAAATTATCTATGATTTGTATTTTTATTTTATTTTCACTAAGAACTTAGTATTGCTGACTTTAATACCTTTGCCACTCAATGTCTGTACTTTCAGTAAGCAAACCTGATTATCTGGCAGTGCACTGCAAAGTTCCTCATGCAATCAAACCATCTGGATTTTATTAATTTGTCTTGTAGGACAAGAGAATTTTGATGGGAAAAATGAAGAGAATCAGCTTTAATGGATGTTAGCTGGAGCCATGCATTTGAACCTTCCATCAATATATTTAATTCACATTGTCATTTTATACTTCTTTTGAAAATGAAATCYTTTCCATGTGTTTCTGTTCCTTGTTGCTTCTTGAGTCAGGGGAACAAAACTTAAGGGTAGCAATTAAGCAGAAATGTATTTTTCTACTTCTGTAAGGTTTGTGGAAAATGATGTTTAGAATTGCCTTCAAAATTTGCTTTTACCTTATGTAACAACAGAATTGTAGGACTATGAACAAAGTTATGTTATTAGGCAATAATTTGGAAAAATAACATTGCCCAGTTTGCAGAAGCCACTTAAAAAAATAGTTATTTGAAGGGATATWTTGGAAGAGGTCAAGTTCCCTTCATTTGGAAGAGACTGTATCATGATTTCTTAAGTCGTCTGGCTGTGATTTTATCTTTTGTTCCGTTAAACCAACTATATATTTACAAGTGGGATTTTTTTTCCCATGTAATTAACACAAAAAAAAAACAAAAACAAAACCCCCCCACCCCTCCCCAAACAAGTAAGTGCATTTTTTTCCTTTCCCCCTCCCCCTCCTGAGTCTCCCATTTGGCTAAAATCACATTCTACAATAAATTGGGTAGTATGTTAAATTGTTTACAGATGATACAGTTAAATCTACTAGAAAGCTGTTAAAATAGGTATTTTCAGAGGACTAGCTTATGCTGATTTTAATGTGGAAAAAATCATATATGAAAAGAAAATGAAATGCAGAAAAAGGAGGAAGTCAGACCATCTGGGTACTTACAGCAGTAAAATGCTGCCCATAAATTAGAGAGCATGATATCCCCTTTCCCTCTGTCTCTTCCTCATTACTAAGGAATGGGTGGAAATGTTTGCATTTTTAAAGAATCCACAGACCTAGGATACTACTGTAGGAAACTTGTAGGTGAAATGAAAGCTTTGCTTTTATTGCTGGATGAAAGGACAAACATATGTCTTATTTCTTCTCACATTTGRAGAATGTCTTCTGAACTCAGCTGCAGAAATATGTGATTTAAATTAGATTTKAGATAAATCCACTTGTAGTAAAACTGTTCAGTATCATAAATTATTATTACAATACAAAATGAAAATATATGGACAAGTGGCAGCAGATGAGGCAAAGAAAGCTAAGAAGTGGTCAGCAAGACCACACAGAGCTTTAAAGGAATTCRAGGCTGAAATAGCTGACCATTACTGAGATTAGAGGGTGCCATTTTTTAGCTAAAGTGTTCCAAGAGAGACTCAGAAAACAGCAAACCTGTCAGCTTGATATCTATCCAAAACAAAGAGGTGGAAGCTCTAATATGGAACAGTGGACATCTGGATAAATATGACTTATCTGGGAAGAGTTAAAAAGGTTTTCATAAAAGGAAGTCCTGCCTCACAAACATAAGGCAGCTCTTTGAGGGGATCAAAAAACACGTGGATAAGGGTGATCTGATTGATCTTGGATTTACGAAAGGCTTTCAACAAATTCCTTCACCAAAGGCTTTTAAGAAAACTAAGCAGCCATACCATAACATGGCTTAGAAGTATAAGGTGATGCACATTGGGGGAAAAAACATTAAATCACATATAAAACTATGTGCTTTGAACTAAGCAGCATCAGACAAGATTTTAAGATTTTGAAAGATAATTCCAGGAACACMTTAACACAGCAGTGTCTGAAAAAGCAAATTAGGTGTTAGTAGTGTTGGGGTTAGCAACCAGAGAACAAAATAGATATCATCAAGTTAGTTACTGCACAAATCCCAACTTTGTGGCCTGTGGTGTTGTAGACCCTCATTTCAAATAGGACTTCAAACTGTAGAGGATGTAGAGAGAGAAAATGARGAGAATGAAAGGTGTGAGATAGGTTTTCCATAAAGGATGACTAATTATTCTATTCTCTATTTGAAAAAAACAGAGGGTAAGAGTATGCAAAAGGTCTGTAAAATAAGTGCCTGGAAAATGTGCATGGGGATTGCTTGGTCACATTCCCCAGATCCATGAACCAGGGGACAGCAAATGAATCTGTAGGATCCAGAAGGTGTTTCTTTGTGTCACTACTCAGTTAGGGATGACYTCCTGCACTAAGCTATAGATGCTACAAGTCATGTGGGCTCAAGAGGAAACACCATGCAAAAGTTCATGGAAGAAAAACTCCTGTTACAAAGTAGAGAGATGCCACTTCCAGCTGAGGAAGTGTTTGAATGGAGCCTGAGGAAAGAAATGCACCATTTTCTCTGTTCCATTTTCCACCTGGTATCAAAGACAACATTTCAGGATTGATGGTCTCACTGTAGCTATTCTAAAAATATGGCTGTTCGTAGCTTATCACAGCTCATCAAGGCTAATGTGCTGGGTTTTTGACTGGCAGATCTTGAAGGGAGATGAGCAAGGGGAAGTTTGACCTGGAAATCTTTTTAAACAGATCTTATCATACAAGAWCATATTTAAACCAAACCTTTCCCTRTATTTGRGCCCAGATAGATGTTGGGTAAATTCTGCCATTTTGTTATTTGCCCAATTTATAAGATTTTTTTTGTGACACGGAAGTTCTATCACTTGTTGCCTAGAAATGGGTCTGAGGTTTTAGTGAAACAATGGAGATGGTGGCAGTGGTTAAATGGCTGCAGTTGCCATTAGCTTGAAAAATTCCAGTGTATTTTGAAAATAATCTCAGAATTTATGAAATTTATTTAAGCCCGAGAAACTACAAAGACTAAAAAGTCATAAATTCCATGATTGACTCTACTTTTATCTTGATGTTCAGTTTATGATCAGCATTTAGAAATCCCAGAGGATGCAAGAATGTTCAAAAAGATAAGAGGAGCATTAAAAAGCAAAACATGCTGCAGTATAAGCATTTAAGAAATTCATATAGGGCAAATGGGAATTGTTAAAGCCCATGGAGTATTCTTTCTAAGATTAAGATGTAGGAAGCTTTGGGTTTCCCCATCAGGGGAATAGTTTAGTTACAGACTTCAAATRGTTTCCTTACTGCAGAGCAAACAAGAAATTATCCCTTAGAGGAAAAGCAGCAATTTGTTTGGAATTGTTGCTATAAAAGCCCCTCAACATGCAGACTAGATAAAAGTTATTTCTCCCATCTTTTTTTTTCCTGTCAGGATCACAGTTCTTGTCAGTTCAAGCACAGAGTCCTATATCACTTTAAAAGTAACAGGTTTAAATGTCCCCAAAGGTTTGTCATACAACAAAATCAAACAGATCCTGGTCATCTTTTTCAGCTGAGCAATAATTAATCAAGGTTGTTCTGTTCTAATACTTTACACAGTTCAGTTATAAGGTCAAAAGGAGATAGAGGCATCTATATCTAGTTCAAATTCCTATCATGTGTATGACCATCCAAAATGCAGGGGTGATTCTCTTTAATTTGTTTTCTGCAATAAGAATATGGAGAAGTTCAGAAACAGAGATCATATTTGATTATTCCTTTTTACCAAAATGATAAGTGACTAATACAAGCTTAAAACACCCTAACAGTAATTAAGCCACAAACAAATTTGAAGGGCGGATAACTATATGATCAATTCTCCTAAAACAAATGTTTAATTTTTGTATTTACCAGAGCATTACTCATAAGAGCATTTGTTGCAGCTATATACCAAAAAATTATATTGTCATAAAATTATCTATAAAAACTTGCATCATTAGGTAAAAGGGAGAGAACTTTGTCTAAAGCAAGATTCTGCCTAGGGAAAGACTAAAAATCTGTCTGATACAGCAACAAATCAACACTGCAGAAGATAATAAGCAGTTAGCTACCTTGAACTATTTCAAATGAGGCATCTGCACTCACAGGTTGTCTAGCACAGTCCCTTAAAAGACTAYTCCCTTTCCTAGTGTGGCTTCTTGGATAATGTTTTCCTTAAGTATTTAATTATATGGCAACCTGTGCCTGTTTTGCTTCTCCAGAGTTGTTGACTTGTAGTCAATAAAGCTTGCACTCTTCCTCCTATTAAATCCTGTTATTGAGAGTGAYATTTTCCTCTGTTTGATTAGGGATTTTGCCTCMACCCAGGCTTYGTGCTACCTCAGTGTCTTAGAGGAYTAGTGAAGGGYTCAAGCTCCTAAAACCCTGTCTACTTTTCCCAGCCAGCARATTTCAGTTTAACAGAAGATCCTGTCTCTACCTTGATACTTTGCCTTTAAAGCATCACTCCAGGGGTCACTTCATTGACAGATACACTGGATAGGTTTAAAGCCTCAGTGGTTATCTGCTACTTAGATGCAAAGTCATGTAATTTAAAAGATGACCATTTCCTGTTACCCCGACATCTCTGACAGCTTAGAACCAACCAAACGGAAACACTTCATACAGAGACTTCAGTGAATTTTTGCTTTGAAAACCTGATGCTCCCYGTATCCTGGGTCTCAAAGCAAGAGGTGTTTCTTTCAGAAACTCTTCTTTTAGCAGTCCAGACATTAAAGATAGTTCACCTGCTKAACACACTCCTTTAGAACCAGCTCAGTTCAAAATGCAATGTGATTTAAGCCTGGCTACCTAACTTTGGGCTGAGGCAAGTAAAAACTTATGCTGTCGGTTGTGAACACTCATCTAGAGGACTCTTCATCCCTCTTCAACCTCCCCAATGAATATATTTTTTCTTGGTGCTTATAGAAAAGTTCCCCTTTACCAACACAATGCAAATCATCCACTGATAGCATCCACAGAGAAATCTGATATTTCATTTCACTAATCTCTGGTAGGAAAGGCAACAGACTGCATAAGAACAGATATTATTAGAGTCCAATAATAATTCAGACCATTGCTAAATAGCAGCACACATAAAACTGTAYTGAGGTCAGAGAGAGCTAGAAAAAGAAGGAATTCCAAGACAAGGAAATTATAAAGCATTTATCTTTCTTTTTTCTTTCTTTCTTTTTTTTTTTTTTCTTACATGCAGTAGAGATGAAAATCCTAAAGGCAGCTCAATCTAAGTGTATTAGATATTCAGAGGATGTACGTGATGTTTCACTTGAGATTTTACTTGCTTTGTTTGGAGTAAAAATGGAAGAAATGGGTGAATTAGAGTTTTAAACGTCTGGCACCATTTACTAAAGTAAACCTATTTCCCACATTGTCACAGGGAAATGTACACTTCTTTTTGCTGTTGTTTTGATGTAGCTGTCAGGAGAGTCATGTTTAAATGAAACCCTCTGCCTCATGGCCGAGTCTCTTTGTGTGCATTCCCTCAAGTTCACTTACTTTACTTTGAAGGTGGGCTGAGCGTCGGAATCTGACGACAGAGTGGGCTGTGCCCTCGGTCCGAGGGAGCTCTTCCATTCCCCTCAATGACTACATTTGCTCGTGCAGTACACAGCGGCAGCAACAGTGTGGTGCTCTGGGTCTCCAGCTCTGCCCGGCAGACCAATCTCCAGCTCGCTGAACATCTGCAACACAAGTTTTTCATGTTCTCCTGTCTGTGAATGCTGCCTAACTGCACCAGGAAAATGGGCACAGGGGATTATCTCTGCATTGCTATGAGCGGAGGGGCGCCGTGGGGCTTCAGACTGCAAGGGGGCAAGGAGCACAAGCAGCCTTTGCAAATCGCCAAGGTAGGAGAATGACAGAGAGACGGTGTTAGACTTTTGTGGACACGGGTGACGGGACCGCTTCGTTTAAATCCATCCTGCTTCCAGGGAAATGGTTGGTGTGGATCTTGTGATGCTTGTTTGAATTCGCTAACGTGTTTTGCAGAGATTCTGCAGGTGTTGATGCTATGGCTTTCAATAAACAGGAATTATTAGCTTTTGGTAGCTTGCAAGTGTTACAAAAGTTTTGTGAAATGCTGAATGTGATATGATGTGTGCCTTTCAGCTCCTGTTTGCTTTGYTGTCTGGTTGTGAGTGCACTCAGCACATCGCAAAACTCAATCTCATATTAGGAAATGCTGCTTCAGTCATCTATTTATGATGCTTTTTCTACTCTGGTCATAGAATAAATACAGTTTTATCATGAGAAAATGTTCTTACTATTTTGGGAATCCTGGAAAGAATTACACTAACTTATCTCTGGTTTTAGAAAGTTATCCAGTCTTAGAAGCAGCTTTAATAGATGCCAAACGTTCCCTCTTATATTTCATGAGCAATACTGAAAATTACTGAGCACCTTATAAATTATCTGCACGTATAGACAGAGGGCAAAACAGGCAGTAGGAGTTGACAATAAATTAAATATAAGAACAGGGAGCCCCAACTTGCAAAAATAATATTTCAAAAGCAGTTTTGTTAAAAATCAGTGCTCACTCYAGTGCAACAGCTTCTCCACTGGTACAACAATGAAGATTTGTCACGGTTATTAAGGCTTATGTAACTGTATGGAGCTGCATTCTGTTCTCCTAGACAAGAGGGACAAATTTTGTCCAGAGCTCTGAGCTCAGCAAAATACCAATGGCTGAAACGGTGCAGGGACTGATCATCATCCCATGAGCTCTGTCTTGTTAAATTGTGGGAGAGAATTTAAAATGCATCTTATCTCCTTTTAGTGTCTTGGTAATGCAGTACATTGAGTGTTAAGGTTTTTGGTTTTACTTCGATACAGTATTTTAGATCAGTGGTTTCGTATTTAAGCTGTAACTTTCTCAAACTGTCAATAAACTTATTAATCAGTTAACTTTAACTTACTGGATCAGTTAACTTTTTCACAGACGGCAGAAACAAAATATCTACTTCTTTTTATAAAACAAGGTCCTTTTACCTCCTCTGTCAAGTAAATAACATCTTTCATTATTCTTTTTGTTTATTTTCAGCCTATAATATTAACCATATCTAGTAATATAACTATGATTTTTTTTGAGGGCCTGAATAATTTTTCTCATTCCTGTTAAGTTTTTTGTTAGTTTTTCTATATTTTGCAAAACTTGAACATGTTCACTTTTTTCCCCTACCGTTGGGCAACTGTTGCTCTGCAAGTGAAGCCTCTGGTAACACATGGCAGTGGACTCCTGCCATCTAGTGAAAACTTGTAGCTAGAACTGAAAAAATCCTKAGTAGCGGTAGGAGACAAGTGGCCTTGATTACATAAAACCAAAAGTAAAAAGCACAGCAGTTTGAACACAAGATTCGGACTAAACTTCAGTTTTCCTGAAAATGGCCTATTTAACGGTGGGGCATTTTTTTTTTTTTTTATATTCACACCCTAGATTGGGGTGCTTAAGTCTCAGYTCTGTTTTAGCATTAAAGGTAGGGACTTGAGAATGGGATACACAGCCGTGCCTTACTTCTAATGGGAAAATCCACAGGAAAACGTCTTCAAATTTAGAAAAATAAGATATATTTTTAGAAAAAACCTCACAGGTACAAGTTTTCTGGTAAATGAAAGGGAAGGCTCCAGAGGGGTTGCTCACCTTCGTTACAGCAGAGGGAAGGGCGCTCAGGCTCTGGTCATGAGGAGAGAAGTAATTGTGATACAGATCCAAAGGTGAGAGGTTTATGAAATGGATGGACATGAAATAATCCATTAAAATATGTCAGGACACAGAATTCCCAAATTCACAYTTGCCTTCTCTTTGACAAAGAAAACACTGTTTTTTAAGCTGATGGAATAAGTTACTGCAGCTCACTGCCAGAGGCAGCTTTTACCAATTTGTTTTATGTCTTTTAAAATAGTTTTATTACATTTATAAAGAATATGTAAACCYTCCCCCTCCCACTGCCTAGCTCCTAATGCATGTATTCAAGTAGCATTCCCACTAAAACCTTTGAGAGTTTTGCCTGCAGTATCATTGTCTTCCATTACCATGTATAGTGTAAAAGGAGGGATCAAGACAAACCTTTTACCAAAAAATATCTCGGTCCTTTTTCACAAGTACTTTTGCAGATAAAACAGGCAATTTTCATCAACAAATAATTTTAAAATCACTAAATTAGGTTGAAGACTTTTCAGTAATTGGTTAGTGTGAGATTGCAACACACTGATTTTTCTAAAGCATTAGATAGTATCATTCTGCTTGTCCATTTTAAACCCTCATTCAAAACATAAATTTGACTCATTTTCTGTAGAGGCATAAGAAGTGCTTAACAACTCTCCTCCTCTAAACCCTGGCTCTTTACACCAATTTACTTTGTGAAGGCTGATAATGTTGCAAATAGTTAATAAAAACTTATTTTCAGTAAAAAAGAATTTGCATATTCTGTGTACTGTCCCAATATAACATAAGGACTTTAAAAGAAAGTATTTTAAATGCTATGTTCAAAGACATACTGTGCTAAGAAGATTATCTCATAAAAAAAAAAAAAAAACAAAAAAAAAACAAACCACCAGTTTAATCAGGAGTCCAAAGTTAAGGAAAACGGTGGTGGTGTACATCCCTTCACTAAACCATGTCAGTACTGCACTGTAGGATGGCTTTCCCAAAGCAGGAGATGGTTGGGAAATCTCAGTGTAGCAGTGACCCTAGAAGGATAAGAATTCAAGATATATAAAAGCAAAGCAACACATGATGTTCTTTCCATTTTACCATGATAAAATGATATATATGAAAGTTGATATATATGATATGAGATATTGATAGTTGATATATGAGATATTGAAAGTTGATATATATGAAATGAGATATATGAAAGTTGTTTTTTTTTAATTAATATAATTGTGGTTTTTTTCTTAAAAATTCTCTGCAGTTTTTAATTTAAAATATATACAAAATAATAGCTGATTTTCTGAACTAGCTGAAGAAAATCCTGTGATTCTTTTTCTATTAATGCTTAAAAATACTGGCTGTGTTATATACAATGAAGTTATATCCTTTAAGAAGAATCTCTTTTGCAATAGGTAATTTAATGGACTTGTMCTATAGATGATTTAGGTTTATATTAAACCACAATATGACTCTGTTACATTATCTGTTTTCAAGAAAGGTACATTAATCTCAGCATATTTGTTACCTTCACCAAACTTTGATTAACTTATTATTTTTGTCTGTCTCAGTCTTGGTAATTTAAGTTTGGGAACTTTAACATATAGTTCCAGTATTTAAGTATTTAACCTATGGGCACTTCAAAGGAAATTCAGATTAGTATCCTAAAAGTAAAAATGAACAGATGCTTATGAGGAGACTTCTGCTATCACTTCCCAAATAGTAGTCTTGCCTTTGGCTCAGTAATGACATGTGACAACTCCATACCTGGTCATTTTAGACTTGTGCCCTTGTCCATCAACATGCTCGGATTTCAAGTCTCAGTTTCATCATTTTGGATTCATTAGAACCTGAAACAGAAAGCGAAAAGCAAAGACTTGAGAACAACCTGAACCAAGAGTGTGAAAAGGGCTGTCTGAATAGGATTACTTAATACTGCTTGTAAACAGAGGTGGGCTGTGTTGTGGTACTTTGACATTTTCTCTGCATTTGTCTGAAATACTTGACATATTCAGAACAACCCCAAGAGGTTGTCATCAAGCTGACCTCTACGCTTAGTCTAGCAGAAAAAAAAAAAAAAAAAAAGGGTAAGATGTTAGCACAGTCATACTTTGGATCCTGATGTAAGGCAATGCACATCACTGTCACAAATATGTGCATGTATATACATGTAACTTATATGACAGCAAACAGTTGGTCTATCCACAAAAGACATCACAGCTGCTGGGTGTAAGGAAACCTTTTACAGTTTTTACCATGCTCTTACATTGTCACTGCTGGCAAATGCTCCCAACTTGCAGGCAGGTAAATTAGATTAGAAAAAGCAGGATCCTCCTCTCCAGCACTGTTTGGAATTGCAGTTCTCAGCGTGCTGGGAGAAGGTTCAGCACTGAGCTAACTCAACCCTGCTCATGCTGCTTTCTTTGTATCAGGAAACATCTGAAGCAGSATTTGAACACAACTTTATGCAATAGCAAGCAGCAGAACAAGCCATGTTTAAAACATGCTAGTTGAACTTTGGCAGCAAAGGAGGGGAGTTTAGAGTCAACCTACATGATTTTAAACACAACTTGCCTTACTTGGCCTGTATTTAAAACTGTTTGTTTAAATTTGCTGGCTAATACATTTCCAAACACAGTTTGYTTTTGCAGCCTGGACAGACTCTTATTCTCAAATTCACCCTTCAGACCATCTGACACAGCTGGTATTTGCTGATATTCAKAAAACCCTGTAAGGCATATTTACATGTTCTTTCACACAAGGAGTTATGTGGAAAATTGTGGGTTTATATATCTTTTCTGTGTTACAAGCCTTGACCCAACTTAATAACCAATACATTTTTGCATGTGTTTAGATGACACTGCTCAGCTTTTATATAAGTAAATTACGAAACTGCCATTGTCAGACTGGAAGAAGCTGGGCTTGATGGAGCTAAAGTTATTTTACAAAGCAGAGGAACAAAGCAAGGTTCCCCAAATCTAGCAAAAATAGACCACTGCAAAGTAACTCTCTTCCTGAAARTATACCAGTGCTAGTTAGAAAAATAATGAAGAAAAAAAAAATTGTACACCTTAACCACCAAAGGTTTACATGTTCTTCTAAAGGTTAGGGCTCTGCGTTCCCTACTTTCAATCTTTTGCATTCCAGCCATTGTGCCAGTGGAAATGTTTAGTGCTGGAGTCCCTCTAGTTGTTTAAAAGCTGCAGGCTGAACTAGCAYATGAGTGGATACCCTGTTTTGGATATACAGGACTACATACCAAGCTGCTTTTGGCATGCTTCCCRCAGTATTTAGGCATATACAAGCATGTTTTGGATACATGATGGTATTCATTTGGACTTATTGATGCTTTTCAACTCTCACGCCAGGCCAGTTTTCAATGGAATAGAATGAACACCATAATTCACACTGATTTAAACTAAACAAACTGAAAAAACCCAACAGTGTATTACTACTAAATTAGATTGACTGGTTTGTATAGAGCTTTTCTTCATTTTTTAGTTTCTTTGCTGGAAACATTTAAAATACACTGGAAGACATTATTACTTGCCATTGTTCTGTATTTTCTGCCATTGCATTCTTATTGCAAATGTGAATGCAATAGTGAGCCTTCTGGCCAAGTTCACATTAAAATATCACAACAGGAAATGTTATTTACAGAGTCCTCTAGGATTGTGTCASATTGAAAAGACACAGCTAACAATTTATACATATCATGGAAGGGTTTTCTTTCAAATGCAGAACTCAGTGTTCTTCCTATTTGCAGCAGAAACATTTAGAGCAGATATTATTCTAAGGGACCATATTTCATAAATGCTTAGTACTCTATAAAGTGAAATGGATTAGCAGAGATAGCTTCAGCTTTAAGAGGAATAATTCAGTGCATGGAATTAGCTATGGACAAAAATGAAACGTTTATATTGCAAGTACTCACAAGCACTGTTCATTGGTTGGAACAAAACTGGCAGTAAAACCCCCCTGGATATCAGCTTGAAGGTTTTAAATTTCAAACCGAATGTACACAAGTTACACAGTGGATTTCTTTTTATTTTTCTGTAATTTCTCCCATCTGTACCATTCCATTAGAATCTGTAGTTCATAGTCAGTTTGAACGTTAGGATGAGACTARTACACATTTATATTGGAACGCTTCAATGTGTGCCAAAATCACRGTGTTATGTTCTGGTTATCTGCCAATACAACCTGGTGTTGAGCATGAAGGCCAAAAATCTTCAAAACACCTCAGCAYCTCGCGCTCAGTGGGGTACTAAGATCAGTGAAGAAGTGGCTGCCTTATTTGTTGCTTATGTGGAAGGTAAATTCTAACAAAAACCTGGCTCTAAGCTCACCAGAGACAGCAGCCTTAGACCCTGAGCTCTCTGTCATATGCTGCAGTCCTCGGCACAGCATGGACTGTCCCTCTCTTGTTTAGCAGGGATACTCTGTCTGCAAGTTGTCTTTCTACTTTAGRGAAATATATTCTGAATCCTCTAAGCTTCCTTCTTTGTTTTACATCTCCTTCTTACATCTGGGACTGGTCATTGACTGCATGGGTAACCTTTTGCTTCAAAAGAGTTATGTCATCCTGGACTGAGGAGCTGTGGAATCATTRTTTTATAAACTTGCCCTTTTGTAAGTATATTTTAGAAATATGGTCCTATTTAGGWAACTGGATGCTTTGGGTTTTGCAAGCATGTTTTATATTACAGCTCATTAGCAGATGAACTGGTGATGGGTCAAAACTATGAAGAAAGTAGATAAGCTGTGGTCTTCTATACTGCTGGTTTCAAAGCATAAACATGCCACRTATGGCATAAATTGCTGCAATATTGAATTTCTAGAAAGTTTTTTAAATAAAGATCATCTAAGACACCATATGTCCATTGTGGAAGTTTATAGTAACAGAAAGAAAAACAAATAGAATGACAGGGGAACATAACTCAATAAAACTAAATTTGCCCTTCCTAGTATTCTGCCTAAYACAGGAATATCAGGAGCTGCTTGTTGTCTGAAGGCAAAGGTGGCAAAGCTGAATCTCTGTTTTAAAACCTAACAGTTGAAATTGCACKAAAGGAAGCCTTAACAAAAGAGTTACTTCTTTCCCATGAACTCATTGGGAGCYTTGCCACTGACTTCAAAAAGCAAAGGATTGGGCCTTTGTATGTATAATATAGTGCAGTTATTTAATTAGAAGCAGATACTGTGAATAAAAAACCTCATTGGAAAGGGTGTAGCAGATTTTGCTWTGAATCTACTTGGTACAGATTTCTGTGTCTAGCAGAAGTCATTCCTTTCTAAGGAGCCAAAAAACCTTTGGGCTATTCTGATAATACTGTTGTATAATATAACTTTTATTCAAATTACTTGGTAACAGTACATTTAATTTCCAAGCTGCCTTGTGAGGACAAAGATACTCACTTGAGCTGAAGACATTTCAATCTGCTTATGTATAAGAGAAAGAAATGATTGCTAGTAGTACAAAGTAGACTGATATTATTAGAAAATAGAGGCCAGTTATTAAAGGACTGATYTATATTGATGTAAGCTAAGGAAGAAATTTAGACAGTGGACAAATCCCTCAGTTGCAAATGTTTACTGGTTGAAGGCACTCCTTGTAACMGCCCTCCTGCTTTCTTCAACCATGCAAATACACAGGCCTGTGTTGGCTGAATGGTATTTCCAAACTGAGACATCAGGGCTTTGCTAACTCACCTCATTTTGCTGACAGCTCAGGCAACAGTCCTATGAGCAGTTTATCTGTCAGACTGGAAGTGTAGAAACCCCCAGATTAAGGGAGGAAAGAGAAAAGGGAGAGGAGTTTATTAAATACTCAAGTACAGCCACTTATTTAAACATCAATTTCAGTGAATAGTGCCCATCACTTCCMCCGGACTTCCTTTGGACTCAAAGAAATATAGGAAACTTTCTSCTTTCATGAACTCTCTCAGCACACAAATCTCTGTACTACTAGAGCTTAACAGATGTGGCTGGAATAGAGTGATCAGCATTTTGTTCCACAAATTACATTTTCCWAGTTTGCAGAGATCACTTCAAAGGCCAGCTGCCATAAGCCACTGATTTAATTACAGAGAATGCATATGGAAGTAATCTGAAAGGGATAAATAGCTTTCTATATTATCATATATTCATAATGAGCTCTCTGCATGCTGAAATAATGCTTGCAGGATGGATAGTGTAAGACTTGACTTGCTTGCAAAATCCTTCAAATTAGGAAAAACTACCTTTAAACATGAACGTTTTAAGCAAATTCCAACATGTGATACTATTTAATGCTTAAGATCCTTATGAAGGAGCAGCTGCTAGACATCCTTCATAGAAAAAGAAATCAAAGTTTCAGAATTGCTGGCTTTCCAAAGAAAATGGATACATAGAAAATTAGAAATGTTTCACCTAAATTGTCAATCAGGGAGATAGGTACACTGTGCTGATCAATATATAATATGCCATTSATAAAAATGGAGAATTTCATTATARAATACATAGTAAGATGACATAATTAGCTCTTGAAATAAAATTTTGGTATTAAAATTGTCATTCCATGGTATCCATACTGTTAGTCAAAGTCAGTCTTTAGATGCATTGTGCATTTTCAGGGGTATCTRAGGGAAGGTACTTGATATTTGAGAATCACAATTAGGACACTGTTTCCTTTTGAGCCCCCCAATCCCTGTGGTAAGTGAATTAGCAGTGTGCCTTTATGTCCACTCGAAATAATCACCTTTTCATGATASTGAGATTATTGATTATCACTAGATGGTGCTCTTCACAATCCCCAAAATCATAGGTAAGTGAATGTAAAGAGARTTATACCTTGGAGAAATTTTGAATGAAAGGTTTAATGTTTTCTTACTGAAGCTGAAAGTATCATTCAGATCAGTTCCCCTCAAAGCATATAAATTTTAAAGTGTAGAATTAATGCCCTCAGGAAAATTTGTACATAAACCAAGTCAAGAATCACAGAGTATCAAATAAATCAAAATCATAATATCAAATTAGTAATTCCAAATCTTCCTTTCACTTCTGCTTATTATTCCCTGCATACAAATAGAATGTAATCTCCTTAAGAACAGCTCCATAAATTTGTGCTAGGGTTTGATTTGTGGTTTCATAACACTCTAATGAGGACAAATTTTGATTTAAAAAAAAAAAAGCTAACTAGAAAGTATTTCAGTAGTATTTCAGAATAAAGAGGCAATTGTAATCCTTTAAAGAGAAAAAAAAATTCTACATCTATTTGATGCATATTATGAACACTAAATAGTAATATTCCACCCAACTATTTGAATGCATGCAGTGAAATAACAATTATGAACAGTATAAAAATATTATCTCAAACCTCAGCTTCTTCCAGCCCARTATGACGACAGCCTGAGCAGACAGGGCTGGGAGCCCTGGAGGTGTAAGAACTCTCTCAGGTCTTGTATCCAATTTAAATCAAATTTTGAGCTATATTAAAATGGTGTTTTTAATAAATTCCTCATTATTCTTTGTCTGCCCTCACTTTTAGTCATGACTTCAGTCTGTAACACTAGATCTTCATTTTCCTAATTGGAGGAAGAATAGACTCCCATGAAGGACACCAAATCCAAGACTGCATCATTGACAAGCTATGGTGTTGGAAATCTACCTGAGTTTTACAGCTTAAGACTATGTTTACTCAAATAGTTTTAAATTAACAGATCAGTCCAGGTGTGATCTAACTAAATTTTTCATGRTTGAATCTTCATCTGAAGGACCCTGATTCATCTCCTAAATATGCTACATTTTTAAGTTATTTTCCAGATCCCCAGGATAATGTCAGCAAAGTATTTCTGATTTCATGGCACCATTTGTGACTGTATAAAGCGTTTGACTTTAAAACCTCTTGTCATTCTAGTTTCAGTTTTTTTCCTCAATATTTACAGGAACAGTGAGAAAAAATCCAACGAATCTAAATGTAGTGAGAGGCCCATGAATGCCTCCTTTTCTACACTGGCAAGAACAGTACAAAGGCTACAATAATTAAGCCTGAGGAGATAGTTATGGTTGCGGTCTGTGGTTTTTTTAGAGTTACACTATGAACAAACAGAGCACTGAAATGCACAGCCTGAGAACAATAGTGCCCGGCCCCGTACCAGCCTTCTGGGTCACTCACTGGTTTGTTTGCTTCCAGGCCTGATTTGCATAAGAGGCCTGGAAAAGTTGCAGAGACTGGGAATTAGCACAAATTGATATTGGGTGCTAATTGACTCAGGCAAAAAACTAAAGATGTACTGACCTGTTCAAATCAGCCTTGAATTCAGGCCTCTGGATTCCTGCATCATCCRGCCCTGAAGAATTCAACCCTGGCACGGTTCATCAGCTGCTGGGCCCTGGGATAAAAATAGACAGGCAGAAATGGGATCACGTTTTRGCATAATCAGCTGAAAGTGGAAAGGGTGGGAAGCAGCCCTTCCTCTTATGGAAAGTGCTTTCTTTTTGGGTGTTTTGGGTGCTGCCTTAGCAACAGCGGGGCAATCGAGCTCACCTAAAATGAAGACAAACCACATCTTTCCCCAAAACCTTTTACTGCTCTATACCCAAATACTTTTTCAAAGATTGGAAAACAGTCGTTATCCCATGTTTGTGTGCAGGTGTGTTCCATTAAGAGCAAGGAACACTATTTATTTCAGTGACTGGGTCAAATATGCTGGATGCAGACACAGGGATTCCCAGCTGTAGGTGTTACCTRTTGCCTCAGCCCTGTGCSATGMCTCTCTCTTGCCTGATAWCCCTAAAGCTAAAAAGCTYCTTCCAATAGTTTTCCATCAGATCRTTATGACAAGAAATTATAWASTACAAAGATCTTTCTGCTTTTACTGGTCTGTAGCAGTACAAAAAGCAGTGTTGACCCATGGGATTCACATAAACTCATATCTGTACATCCCTTAAARCAAAAATTACACTTATGCCCCTAGTTTAATTTAAAACTTTCCTTGCACTTCTGTGGATTTCTTCAGTTTTACATTTGCAAGATGCTCTCAGGCCAKATATTTTCATGTGCTTGGGTTTTCTTTTGGCCATTTAACTTTGTTCACACAGGCCTTGTTTACCTCCTTAGTTCCTCCATCATTTTAACGCAGTCACATGCAAAACCAGGATCTCAAATGTAGATCCTGACAAAGCTGCACTTGACTGGTTTTGACTAATTTCTTCCATGCTAAAAGGATGTTCAATCCTCTCTGCCACAGTGACATTAAACTGTTTTTGCTATGTTTTTTCAATTAATTGTAAAAGTTAATAAGAAAAAGGTAAGTTTCAGGGCAAAATAATRAAGATAAAAGGAAACTTAACACTGATTCTAACACTGAATTTAATTTATGGAGGTGCTGACCTGTGACATCTTTTTACGGACTATGTAATCGTTAAAAAGTGTGCTCTCCAGAGAAATTTGAGGAGATACTAGCAGTTCACACAATAGGACCTTTCCCCCAACATTATATTAGCAAGAGGTGTCAGCAAAGTCTTCSGAGGCAATCTGAGTTAGTTTGTCTTCTTTTAGGTGAAAAAGAGCACTGTATGTGTTTACAATTCTCTTCAGTTGCTTAAAATGTTACTTCTGACCTTCAGGCATTTTTTAAGTGACTCCTTACATCACCAGGATGCTGAAAAGTAGTCTGACTATGAGAGTTTCTTAAAGAGCTAAAATCAGTATTGTGAGATAAGGAGCCACAYAGCTGATCCATTTTTAACCTATATWATAATTTGAATTGTAGGGAAGCMCTTGCTCAGRAAACAAATACAAAATAATGGAAGCAATTCACATAAATCTTCTCAGTTTATACCCATGCCTTCACAAGCTCCTCTTGGCCCCTACTACYTTTGTTTGGTGCTTGACATTTGGAAAAATGGCACAGAGCAGGGCTGACTTTGACATTACCAGGGGCTTCCTGACACTCCTTCAAAAAATCACCCATGAATACCMCGCTGTCTTGCTGCCAGATGTTCCTTCAGACTGTTTTTTCCTTCTCAAATAAGCTCTGAAGGCAGCACAATGAATATGAGAGGAGAAGACAGCAATGTCCATATCCTCTTCTGCTTTTGTCTCCTGTCTTAAAGTTTCTATTTGACCTTTCTTGGGAGATGATGCACTTCCCATAAGAAAATTCTACAGGGAGGATTTGGGGTTTGTAGCTGCCAGTCTTCATTTCAGAAGTACTTACAAAAAGTGCCTCTAACTTGGTAAARKACACAGTTGTTTTTTGCTTTCCTAKGCAGTAAAGGCAGTGTTCACTCTAAAAACCAAGTCAAGAGGTTCTGGCACAGTTTAGGATTTATACTTCCCAGGGTTACTTGGAGGCTCTGTAACAATGCAACCAAGTCAGATGCATCATTTAATAGTGGAAAAATATGTAGGATATCTTGGAGCAAAGTTGGAGCAACAGTAGCCACACAAAATGAAACRGAATTAAGCTATTCTAGACTGATACAACTAGGGCTATCTGAAATCTTTCTATGACCATGTTGGGGTGAAATCTGATGGCAAGCAGGTATTTTATAGCCACATGTTAATCTTCCTGAGCAGGATGAGTTATTAAATTAAGTCCTTAAAATGAGCAGCTCTTTCATGTGTGCTTATATTTTCCAGATGCTTGATACAGTCAAGATWATCCTGTTCATTTACATGTGCTTGTTTCTTTTGTTGTTATTTTTAGAAAATTCTTTAAAAACTTATTATTCTAACATCTGTGTAAGATTTGAAAATAATTTTTGTTTTAGTCTCATAGCACTTTTCCCATTATCCTTCTTAACCCTTATTTCTATTGTTTATGGTTTTGGAAGAGACCAGGATTTAATTTAAATTAATTAAGCAAGTGGGATTTTGTCCTAGGTTTTGTCCTTACTCATTTGAGGGAATTTGAGTGATATTTATCTGCATATTTAGCARTATGGTTTCTGAAAATTATATCCATGCTAAAAATAAAAGCTGTGCTTCATCATAAATAATACAACTTCAAATGTTTTTCAAAGCCCTTGCTCCTTGACAGAACCAGTGTAGCAGAAAGTTAATGCTGTGCATTTACTGCGTGGCCATTCCCTGCTGAATCCATCCCTCAGTGATCCTGGCAAGAAATGTGCACCTGGAGATTCTGACCCTCRGCAGTGATTCCACTTTGAAAAAATATTTTAAACTGAACTTCCAAATTGTGCTTATGGTCTAATGACATCAGTTACCCTGCATCCCTTTTCTCTGTGAAAGTTTTGTTGGGAAAATGTTACTTGAGCTCCCAAAATGAACACATAGGGCTGCTCTTGCTGTAGGATTGTTGCAKTTCATGAAGGTGTGGGCTGCAGCCTTCTGTGTGTGGAATAGCATCCTTGACTTAGCAAACATGACTTAAAGCTGGCACAGATCTTGGACAAGGATTGTGAAAGTACTTCAGGATCTATCTGGGATGAGAGAAGTCATGTTATGTTTGTGTTAGTACATGAAAATATTAATTTAGAGGAAGAAAATGAAATAAAATCATAGACAATATGCAAAGGTTTGCTTGAAACAGTACTCCGGCTTCTTATATTAAGAATTGTCAAAAATGGCAGCATTAAAAAAAAAAATCCAACTGGCTATATGCCTTTTGGATTTCCTTAAAAATTCAATCTTTACAGTTTCTGAATAAAGCTACCATTGTAATTCAAGGACGCTCCCCTGCTGGTTTTGATTAATTTATTTTAACAACACAGAAAAAGTCTGCTGTAGCTCCTCTGGTAATATAAATCCCTGTTACAAAGGATTCTGTTGTCTCCACCTCTCTAATAAACTATAGTGTCAGGGGTTCAGAGCTAAATGGATGGYAATGCAACTTAAACAATTCCTCTTTGCTTTTGTGTCTGAATTAATATCAGGGTATTTTCCCCTTCAACCTTTAACTAATTTATAACTCTATTCTTACCACRTTATATAGGTAACAGATCCAGTGAAATATTTTAATTTGCATACCATAACACATTTTATACTTTTAAAATTAGTGTCTTGAGAAGAATGTACCTATAATCAGATATCTTAAAAAATCCCTGTAAAATTACAGTGACTATCTGCCCATCTTTTTAAGAGTTTCTGCGAGTCTGATGACACATCAAATTTTCCTTACAGTACCAGCTCCTGAAATCTGATTCTTACCTGAGTCCCAGCTTTCATTAAAATTAGAATACATTTCTGGATATCCTTGCAATCCTTGATTGCAAAGTGATCCCACCCCAGAGTGGAAAAAAACCCAAGTAATCGCAAGTTTTTAATGTTTTAATATTTTTTTCATGTGGTACTGGATAAACTGGTATTTGCTGGTTGCAGGGCTAATGGAATAAGCTTGACAGGCCCACAGTTTGAGAACAAAATGCACAGTGAGACACTTAAATACCTGTTACAGTTTCTATGGACAGAAAGTGAATAGTGCAATGAAGCTGCTGTTAAAATAACAGTGCCTTTCAGAGATTACAGAGATTGTCACAGCAGATTATGGCAATGTAGAGATTTTCCCAAATCCTAAGAGCATGTGAATTCTCTAACWTTCAAGCAGTATGATTCCTTTTGGGAATCATAAAGCACTTTAATAGAAATTGCTGTTGCTGTTAGCTTACTTATACAATTACACACTCTTGAACTGTTTTCAATGCACATAAATATTAAATATTCATTTATTTAAACAAATTTATTTAAAATATTATCTAGAAGGAAATCAAATTATTTTCAAGCTGTTTCTTACAGATTTCTAGTAAACTTGCTGCTCATTTGACATGTTGCATGTGTAGTTTCAACAATGTCCCTATGTTTGAGTGTATATACAGATGCTTTAGGCTAACATTAAACAATGTCCTATAGCTATGACTGTTTTTGTAATCCAAATAAAGTAGGTAGTGTTTTTATAACTATCAATTCTTRGGTTATGGAGAATGTCTTCAAATAGAAATAGAAAGAGGTTTATCTTTACAAACAGGTCTCATTCCCTTAAAAGGAAGTTGTTTCTTTTTTCTTCTGCTTCTTTGGAGAACTGACTACAAACTGGGAATGGTTATTGCATGACTCATTTGGGAAGAATARCTGCAGCGTAAAAAGTTCAGAAGGGATTTTAATAAAACCAAACCAAATTATCTTCTGTTTTGGGCATGATAAAGATAGTTTTAAGGAGCAAAATACTAAGTTTGTCAGAATGCTCTTAATCARCATAACACTGTAGTATTTTGAAGGGAAAGGGGGAAAGGTCAGAAAAGACTAAAACATTTTCCCCTAGTTTCAGTTCTAAAGATAAGACAGAAATCCCCTTTTTAAAGGAAATTTTAATTTACTTTATTCTGGCCTGGCAGTGGTTCTTGCATGCACCAGTGCAAATCACTGCTAAAACCAGACATCAAGCYTGGGAAWGATCCCTGACTGAGCTATGCAGAGSTAATGAGGCTTTCCTACTGCAGTCCATGTACTACTTGGGAATTCCCCCAAACCCCAACACTGTCAGTCAAACTGTTAAAAATGATAGCATTATTTCAATAAAACAACATTAATGCTGTGCACAGTATAGACTGCCAATGCTAAAAGTAAGTATTATTGTATTGCTCCCTGCATTACCTTCCCTGCAATGCCATAAAGGATACAACAGTAAAGTCGGGACAGGAAAAGGCCCTTTCAATCTTAACTTCTGTCACTGTGATTCCATCCTTTCCTTACAGCCATTTCCTTAGTTTTTATAGTTTTACAAATGAAATCGTGTCTTCAGCATGATACTTACAGCAAGTGATCCATGCAAAACATGGGGAAATGCAATTTTTTTAAAAATTCAGCACTAGATGTTTGCGTATTGCTAATCCAGCAAGAGAATCTTACATGATTTTTATTTTCTTCCTCCTTAGTGTACATACACTGTAAAGGAATTTGCTGCATTTGTCACTTGCAGTCAAGGCATATTCCCTTACATTTCAGACAACTATTACATAGGTTTGGGTTTGAAAGTTCATGTCCAATATTGGCCATTTATATAAAGTTTCCCAAAGTGCTTGTAGGATTTTTTTTTGTATTTTATTTTCTCATGCTTGAAGCACCATGAAAATTTTCCCTGAGTGAATCTCCTAAGATTGCTCCAGCTAAGGTTGAAGTTAATGGRAAGTGACCAAGTGATTTCAACGGGAGTTTCACATTTGGAAAGCAAAAAGATGACTGTATTTTGGCAAGAATGTTGATGTGTCTGAACTTGCATTCCTAGGAATTTTACAGCAAAATGCTGAACATTTAAATTGCCATGAGGCAGACAGCGTTTGCACTCAGAATATATCTAGAATGTCCTGTAGTCTTCAAAGCTAAATTTTAAAAGAAAAAAAAATCCTTCAAGGCCCTCTCCACCCCACTTCCTACTTGCTCGTGTTTGACCAGTTGGGAATGTCCTGGCCAAAAAAGGTTTATGAATGTGTCACAAGAACTCAGTTTTCTGTAAATCCAGGAATGATGACTCTGTGCTTTACAGTCTAGCCCAGGCTTTCCAGCAGAGCTCAGACACACTGTTGATGCTTTGTGAGATACCTTTGATGATAAGAGAGCTGCAGTCACAGCCATGATTTACCATTGCAGTAGATTGTGGATAGACAGAACTACGGAACTTGGATATTTTAATAGATTTTTAAAAACCGTAATTTGTTGATATCACATTTAAAAAAAAAAAAACATGTGGATGAAACTGTTGTTGCTGCTGCTACTGTCCCAAAGTGCTGTTAATGATGGGGACCTACAAGGTTACTATTTGGGAGGGGAGGCCAAGGGTCCTGCTGCTGGGAATGGGACAGGAGGCTCCCCCATGACAATAGTCTGGGTAGTGCTCTKCCTGATAATGAGGGCAGCGATATTTCAACAGCCTGCAAAAGGGAGTCTGTGCCTCTTTTAAAGACCTACCCTGGACCTGGTTGCCAGGGATCTGCAGGGGGAGAAGGTTGGCAACRGACAGGGAAATAATTCAGCTGAATTCAATTAGAGTGCATCAGTAGAACCAAGTGAGCTATTAAAATAAACAGTTTCCCTAAATCAGAAAAGGTTATGACCACAGAAATTGGATCCTTTACAGATTTCTTTGTACCATATTGAGCTATTAATGTTTTCTAATGTGAACCACTGCATTGCACAGTTCCAGACGTGCCGGGGACATGATTGTAGCAGGGATCCAACTTGTTCCCTCTGACATTGGTCATTTTTTAGGATCCACAGCACACAGGGATGCAGCAAGGCTCTACTTTCCCCATAGAGCCCAAGCAGCTGCTGCTTTGGTTTGTGGAACAAAGGGAAACCAGAAGAAACAGTGTGAGAGAGCAACACTGAGCAAATCCTTCCTTCCYTCTTCTGCTGAGRACTCCTGCTGAACACCTGGTTCCTSTGCTAGAATGACTCCAGATTTTTCAAATATYCTAATCAAACCACTGGCCGGGATATAACCTTAGTGGAGCAGCAATAACCCAACACTTTACTAATGCCTTCGGATATCCTGGACCAATTTTCCTCTAAGMACTACCTAATTGATTTAATGAGAGAGATTTTCTTGATTTAGAAGGAAGCTTCCTGAGTATTTCCTGGACTGTAGATTTAATTTGTTTGGCACTAGTACAGGTATTCRTCAGCAAGTAAACACCTAATTTTAATTGATAACAGCTATTGCACTTCATACTAAAGCTAGAGATTTAGGCAGAAACTGCGTGTGAGAAAGTACTGCTTGCAACTGAGGGAAGCAGGTTCTTTGAGCAATAGAGGAGTGCATTTCCCTATTGCTTAGGTTTCCTTGATAGTAACTTTTGTAGATAGCTACGGCTATCTATGAATGGAAAAACACAGTGAAAAGACATAGTAATACATGGCAACAGCTATTGAGAAGAGCATATAGTGCGAGAGATTGTTACATCATATATTCAGGGGAATAATACGATGTACTCCAGAGAAAACAGAGATATAGTAGAGTTGAATAAAGAAGTACCTTGGCTTTTAGGTGGTATTCGGGAATTATGATTTCCTGCCTAAAAGAGAAAAAGAATAATGAAGATAAACACAAGCTAATGAAGAGAACTAAAGGAAGCAAGATTTTCATAGGCTCAGAGCAACATACATTTTGTATTAGGAAAAAAAGACTCCAAAGAAAATGTAGTGGTAGTCCATAAAAATGTTACCTCAAACTGCTCTGGAATTTGCAGCTGAGCTCCCATTTCCTTCAAAGGTTCAAAATGATGAGTTTGTGCTAAGCAAGGTTCTCCAAGTTTGCAAAAGGCCAGTGGTTTAGTTTATATTTTTCCTGCTGCAAAGCAAATGACTGACAGAGGTCAAACACACAATTTGATAGTTAAGTCCTTTCTCCGAGTCCCTTTCCTGTTGCTGCCTCCCCTTAGTRCTCCACTCTCCTGGTTTCCAAGTTCTCCTATGCATAAGTTGGCAGCCTCAGCTTATAGCAACACAAATTTACACATAGCATCACCAGAAGTGGTGTATTTTTAAAGCCTAAATTCAAACCAACCTTTACAGAAGAAAACAGGTAATTTTGCTGGAGGAAAACCTCCATGCTCACAACATAAATTATCTTTTGCCTGCTTTTTGCACTCAGAAGCAGAAACCTTAAATGTTTGAAAGACTTATTTTTTTCTCCAAGTAATACCTTTTTTGGTTATGGACCAGTGGTGCTGACAAATATCCAGCTCTTGCCAGGACTTAAACTACTAAATGTCAATCTAGTCCATTTTTGACAGTATACTTGCAAGATATGGCCATGGTTGTAAAACAACATTTTTAGCGTGCTCCCTAGAATATCTGAAACCAAAACTACAAGAGAAAGCACAGCCAGTTTCAAACCTTGTTGTATAACTGCAAGAATTACTTCTGAAAGAAAATAGCCAGATGCACATAACAAGGGTGACAACAGGTTCTATTTAKCAAAGTGTACTCTCAAAGAGCTAAAGATGGAGTACAAACCAAGTAGTCAGAAATATTATTCAAATTTCCTAGCTGACCCAATTAAAACACCTGCAATGTGTGTGAGAAGTGTCTAATATTTTGTGCCTATATATTTTGAGGCATTTGGATACCAGGACCAAATTCTTAGCTTGGGCCAGAGACTGCTCCAGCAAACTCATTTTAGAAATATGTTTAGTTTTCGTATTGATGTGATAGGCAGATCTGATTAATGGCGATGCCATCATGCTGAAGGGCTCCATTGGAAKAGCAGGTTCCAGTAATTATTGCAGCAGTTACAAAGAGCACTGAGAGGCAGGGGTGAGTTATGAATCCACACAGAATTTTCCCTCATCCCTCCCCAGGCTCTGGCACCCATAGTGTGGTCCTCAGATTTCGTTTCACACAGAAACACAAGCATGCAACTTCCACCCTTGAATAATCCACTTCTAAATCACCTTTGTCTAAAAAGCTGTCTTGAAACCTTGCATTGCTTAGTCTAACCCAACTCATAAAATGGGAGTTTCTTCTATTGTCCCCTTGGCGTTCTGGTCCTTTTCCTCTATATCCTGCCACATGAACTCTACCAATTCTAACTTTAACTGTGGTGCTAGGGTTGTCTGTTTAGTCATTTTTACCAGGGGAAACAGCTCCACTCTGCTTCCCCTTGTTTAATGGCATCTACACATCTTTCCTGACGTTTCCCATTCCTTCATCTGTCAGGTGTTTTAAGGAAAAAACTCAACAGGCATGTTTGAAAGAAACCATTCCAGGTGAAGGTACTGGGAACCCTGGTACACGATGAATACAACAGTTCAGTCTGGGATTGTGAGAATTATCAAACAGGGAAGAACAGTAATTTAAATGCATGAAGTGCTTCCCTACAAACACTGTGTGCACAAGAAGATGTAAATGATGATGACAGTAGATTACACTTGGTTCACAAGCCTTCAAACATWCTCAGTATGACATTCTTTTTCATTTAGGCAGCTGAGCAAGTTTACTTCAGCCACCGGGTGGGGGGTCTAAGAAAACTGTTTGGACTKTAGAACAAGGATACATCTGTACAGCTGAGAGAACTTTGAAGTTACGCCAAATTTATTTGGGGGTTTTTGTGCAGTTTTAGTCTTTCATTAGTGTTAAGGCTTTCCTAGAAAAATTCTAATATTAGCTCTACTCCTCACACCAAAAATAAACCCCAAATGAAAAYAGCATTGGGGATAGTCATATAAGAATTTCTATGGCCTGGTAGATAAARTGCTACAAAACAGAACAGTATGCAAATGAAAAATTGAATAATTTACACATTATGCATTCAAACAACCACTGGCCAAACACATCTTTGAAAGTGTTGATGTCAAGTACACAAGAGGCCAATTCTCAGCAAAAAATCACCTATAGATGTTTGCAAATAGCAACATCCAATTACAGTATGTTTCAGTATTTAACTAGGCTTGGCAGGCAGAAGGAACAACAAAAATACTCACGTTCTGGCAATSTACTGCATGCTGAAATTTAGAACATTAGGCCATGAGACCATCTTGTCCTATTTAGGAATTTTTTGGGTCTAGGTTCCTTTGTTTGGGTTCAATAATGTAACTGCAGCCTGATCCAAAATGACAAAAAGCTTCATTCCAAGTGCGGTAGGAGAACACAGAGACACATGCTGCTTCACTACTTGTCCATAAGGAAAAGTGTAAAGGMTCTGTTATGCTCTTAAAGGAAGAARTMTGTTGCTAGCACCTTTCAGGCACAATTTGCTAGTATTGYTGATTTGCTACATTAGTACACAAAATAGTAAGGTACATAAATTTCAAGAGAAGGTATCAGATTCTCAGATGACATAAGTGTTCTTAGCATGAAGCTTGGAAAGATTGGATTTTATTCAATGTCTGGGTGAAAAAAAAAAGTAACGGGTCTTCCTGTGCAGCTGAATTCGGAAAGCAAGAGACCACAGGTGTGCTCTGCAGTGTTTTCTGGGCTTGTATCAAGAATCTTATGCCACTCAGTACAAGTCAGGCCCACACTGTCCCATTCCTCAACAGTAGGCATGATCGCTGCCTCACTTAGTAAGTGCAAACACTGGGAAGGTGTTTACTRTTTTCCTTCTATTGTCTCCATCCCTCACATCAATTTCAATTTTCAGTTTAAGATTATTGGAGATTCAGATTCCAATGAACCTAAATGTGCAACTATCTTTTGGCCACACACAGATAATTGCTTTGCCTCCTCCTTTTTCTRATAGTCCTTCATTGAATCTTTTCTGTCGAAAGAGGCAACTGGAAACTTCAGGCTTCCAGTCCTCTGTTAAAACTTGCTTTAAAATTTCTGAAGGATGAAAGGGGTGAAGTACATAGGAATTTCTTTATGAAGCCCTAGTCAGAGCTATGCTGTTCGATCTCCTGTGGCCACAGTGGGGGTGATGGCTCCAGTCCCCGCAGAGCTATCCGACAATCCTCTTTCCTAAGTAACTGAACACATAGACATCGGTGCAGCATCACACAGGGGGCTGTCATATGTTATTGCAGTCTTATCTTTGAGCTTTTTCGCCTTGGATGAGTTCGTTTTTTTCAATCCTAACATGAATCTGATACGATTTTTGGCCAAAAACCAAGGCTAGTTCTGTGCCAGAAAAGCCCAGGATAAATGTGTCAGAACCTATTTTCATCTGCTTATTTAAGTATTCCAGAACAACATTAAGGCCTTTCTCCCCATCCAGAACTATGCCTACCTTGAATGGTTTGTTTATTTGKACTCAGGATAGCTAGGCAACAAGGGAACAAGTACCCATGACCTGGTAATACTGCATTGTATTAAGCTGCCKATGTCCAACTGTTTTAACGTCAGGAGATTAAGTCAAATGCCAAATCTAGACCAAAATCATGGAGTTGTGGATTTCCAATGTTATCTTCATCTCTTTTTTTCAAAAAAAATAATACAGTTACCACCCAGCATCACTGACAGAAACAACTGTAGCTTTAAYTTCTGATCCAAATCTTGCAGACTCTTGGCACAGTGAACTCATATATGCTTTTTGCCATCAGCTGAAGACGCAGTTTTGATTAATCTTAACCTACTCCCTATTAGAGTGCACAGAGAGCAATGCATCATGGCCTCTGACACACCCAATATGTATGGTACACACAGATGAAGTGTGTGGTACCTGATGAGCTGTGGCTCTGCAAAGGGCTCTGGTGTATTACAGAGACAGGCACAGAATAAAGTCTGTCAGGCTGAAGGTAAGATAGGTTCCTCTGCCCCTGTATCCCAGTCTGGGAACTGGGAGTACTGGGAGCACCATGGAGGGGAGCAGGAGCTGCCTGGATGCATTCTTTCAGGTGGAACCAGATTTATGAGCTCAAGCTCAGGGCTGCTGCTGCAGCCAGCAGAGGCAAGGAGGATGCTGCAGCCAGYTGTGGGAGCAGGGTGAAGTAGATACAATAGAGAACAAATCTGGCCAATTTTTTCAAGCATGGCTTGGCCTCRGAACTGCTTGGAATCATTACTGTATAATACATTAGATGTGCCTGAACAAGTTAAATTTCTCGTTTTCTTGGACAATGAAACMATATTCCTCCTTTTCTGTACTATAAATTACTGTAAAACACAAATTGAGATATCCTGTTGATATGTGGGTTTTCTTTCTGGTTTTGTTTGGTTTGGTTGTTATGCCTGGTTTCTAACAAAGCATAACTTTCAGTCCACATTCATGTCAGCAATGGCCTTAYTTGAAACAGCAGTTCTTCTCAAGGTGCCTCGCAGGGTGATGACCCTTAATTCCAGACATCCCAGCTTTGATTAAAACCACATGAAACAAGTTCATCTCTGTAACCCTGCACTAGTGGATTGCCTGCTTTCCTCAAACACACTAAAAGCCTGTACTAAGACTACCCTAACTCATCTTTATGTTGATCACATTTTCTTAAACCTTCTCTCTCTCTCATAGTTCAAGCTCCAAACAATTACYACAATCACAAGGATTCCTCCTGAATGAGGAGCAGAGTAATTTTCATTTCAAATCCAAGAACAAAACCATCCTTTCCTATAAGACAAAATTTCCTGTCCTCTCCTTCTGCAG